CCTTACTTAAGAACTGTGTACCAAGATGGTGGTGTATGCTCGTGGGAACCTTCATTTGAAAAAAACAACAACTTGGTGATCTTGATTTTGGCTTTACTTTTGTTACCTAAAAACTGAATATTTTCTATAGTCTTATACAATGCTGTTACCCATTCATCCATATCTTTATCCTTGGAGATTCTAAGCAGGAGATGCATATTCTCTAACGTTCTATGTAAATTCCTTATTGGGTTTAGTCCTATTTACACTTTTTTTCTAAAATTACCTGTTTTTTCAAGTATTGTGGAAAATGGACTCTTTGAACTTATATTTAACTCTCCTAAACTGTTTGTATTTGTTTCTGTTTTTGTCTTGTTTAACTGTCTTTAGCATATGGGCTTTGCAAATGCTAGATGTGGCAATGTAGCCTAAGTTTTGTTTCCCTGAGAAGTTGTTTATTGTGTTTAGCTCCTACATTTCAGAATTCAGTGTCTGACATATTATGGTAATTTAACTGACAGGTTGTCTAGGAAAAAGGATGGTTTTTGTTTAAAAGAAAAAAAATGACACAAGATCTGGTATTTCCATTTCCCCGTCTGTAAAATGGAGGCAATACTAATCTGCATCAAAGTAGCATTTTTAAAGCATATGTTAGTAAAACGTTAACAGTTCTTCAGATGGAAGAGGCCGTACAACTACTAAGTTATTTATACATTGCCATAAGCATTCAGTGTTACACGACAGACATAAAATACAATATCTCTTCCATGCAGTTTACAATCTCAGCTGTAATACATATAGCATGATGCACCAAGAGATTAAATTAGACAAGGGCAGTATTAATGGCAAAAAGATTTACAGTCAAATATTATTATTTTTGTTAATTAATACTTGACACTTTTCCTACATGGCATTAGCCGTTGATTACCCCAGGCTGTATCTCTTCCACAAATGGTTTCCTTTTACATTCTGAAAGACATAATCCAATGTGAGAGATGCACGTTATCTTTCTAAAACGAACACAGCAAAAATTGACCTTATGTTAATCAAAGTATGGGGCAGGTTAAAGATTTCCAGGAGCAAATGTTTAAGAATTCAGGGTTCAAATGAGCACAGGTGATAGGATAATGTACTATATTCCCAATAGTCAATTATAAAATAATTTTAAAGAATCTATTATAGAACTGCATTTTCCTTTCATTCATAAAATTTAAGTTATCAAGTGGGACAGAATTGCTGCCCGTGACCATGATAAAGGACCAGAATTAATTTGGACACGATTGGACAGGTTGTGCCCCTGTGAGCTAAAGATCAAGACTACCTGTAGATTCAAGTTACCCAAAGTCTAGGGGATACATCTCCATACAAACTGGGTGTAAAAAAACTGAATTACTGGAATACCAGAGAAAGCCAGATAAAGTTCCCATTCAGAAATGCTGGGAAGCAGCAAAATAAATTCAGGACCTATTTTAGGAGAAGACAAGTGCTTGCATTTCAGTGCGCTATGGGTATTCCCAGGACCAGCCATAAATTGGTTTCTAGAAAAGCTTGAGGTCAAATCTATGTTCTCTGTACCTTTGTGTTCACTACTGGAAACCTGAAGGACCCAGTGAATCCGTTTGAAGTCCAAACTTGTGGCCATATAGTTGAACCCAGCGGCCCCAGACACTTTGGTTGGATTCTGCTTCCAGCCTCGTGGTTATGAACAGATGTGTGCAGAATTGCCCAAGACAGAAGAATGCCACCTCTCATCATCTGGAACACTAAAGGAACTCTCTGACTACTTCATTCAGCAGAACAATTCAACAAAGGCCACTTCCAGTCCCAGTTAGTTTTTCTTTGGACCCCATAATTGATGTGGAAAGTTGTTTGTGAAATGTAAGCCTTGTTTATTGTTGTCTATACAGTCTATACATTAAAGCTGCTCATTTTAAATCCATAAATATAGATTTTTAAATTAAATCCTTTAGAGATAAGCTGCTGCTGTACACTCATCAGTTTACAGAGAAAGCAAGCATTTAAAGAGGATCCTGCTTTCTCTGTCTAGACCAGAAGGTGGCACTCACCCTCCACAGCAAGGCTTTTACATCAGTAAAAAAATGGAAAGAGCAGCACTAGTGGAATGTGAGTCAAAAAAGGATTGTTTGAATTTGGTGAGATTCCTTACAACATTTTGTCAAAATATTTTCATTAATTCGTTAGATTAGTCATGATAAACATTTTTTCAGGATATTAGAATCCACCTTATTCATCCAGGAGATGGGCAGCAAAAACTAAGTGCATTTTCTCTGTCCCTAACCTGAGGAAAGGCTTGAAGAACTTTTTATCACACCATTATCTTCTGGAGAGAGAATCATCTCAAATACTTTACTGAACCTGTTGCTTATCAGCGAGGACTTTATTTTTACATGTGTGGCTGCATTTTGCAACTTCCAAGCCTGACGTACGCTTACAAGGTTTTCTGGAATATCAGCTTGGTAGCCAGCATGTTAAACTAATACGTTATTGAACAGAATTTGTCCTGTTCTGTGTTCAGCACAGAGCCAGTTAACATGATTAGTAGCAGTTGTGTTCAGCTACTGTATAGGCTTGTAGTGCACCAAGGCTCCAGATAGTGGTGGAAAGTAATTGATCTATGATTCCATTTCTGCAAAAATGTGTAGTGTATTCTAGGTTTATGCTGCCTGTGCTATATAGTAAGAGAAGGCCCTGTTCTTCAAGGAGAACACAAGCATCAATGGTGACATTTCAGGATTGAGACTTGGACTTTGTTGTTGATCTTTGAACTATAAAAACTCCAGAAGAAAAGCCAATACGCATGAATCTCTAGTAGAACACCTAGAACAATGTACTTAAGAACCCAAAGCACTGATTATAAGAATGCATGGTAGAGATATCAAAGTAGTTATTAGTTAGATAATCCTTAAATAATGAAATACTTCAATTTGCATTTTAAAGGTATTCCTGGTTATTTTCTCTCTCTCCTTTCCCACTGCACAAAAATAATGGAAAATTCCTGTTCTGTTCATACATGTGACGGACATGAGTTTGGGTCCATTAATGTATGTCATAGAATTCAAAATTGTTTCAGAAATATTGTGCCATACTTGCTAAAAGGGTTCTTTTATAATAATTGATCCTCCTGTCAGAATTTTTTGCTTAATTTCATGAGCTAAATAAGTGACTTTAAACACAACACTCATTGTTGCTACACATTTACTGCCTCAATCTGACTCAAGCAATAGGTGGAAAATCTATTTTGCAGGAGAGCCCTTGGCAGTGTTTGGGTGAATTGGCTTGATACTTTGAATAGGGTGCAAAGGTCTCGTAACCAAATAAACCCTAGGTCTGTGGCTGTTTGGGGTTGGAGAAAACCTATGTTGGAGGGAAGTTTTAAGGAAATTAAGATCTTAATTTGTGATGAGGATAAGGATTTATTTAAGCTGTTTGCTGTTAAGGCTAGATGTTTATTATACAAAGGAAAACAAACTGCAGGCAGCTCCAGTAGCAGGTTTTGTCTAGGGGCAACACTGAACATAAAGACTTTTAATCACCACCGGTTTGACAGGCAGAGGAGCATAAAGTTAGAAATAGCAGATCAGCTCTCCTTCCTCCTCCACAGTCCCAATCCAGACTTTCATTGCACTGCTTGTGTTCTGATTCCATTGATCCTTGAAAGGTTGCGCTGCTGATTGGTCAGGGCAGCTTCTGTATTAAGAGATCAGAGCTGGCTTTCTCCCCAGTCTCTGCGGATGGATTTGGTGTCAAGGGCAAGGAAAGGCAGCTGCTGCAGACTGAGAGGCACCGCCCACACACCTGTTCACTCTGGTGAAAGTGTTACTGACCCCAGGTGAGTTTTCTGCCTTTCACTGTAAGAGTCTCCAGAGCACAGAAATACCAACTGCAGTCCCCGGGCCTAAGGCAGTGCTTTCCTGAGAACAGGCCTCACCCAGAGCATTAGTAGAGTTTCCTTCTTTCCTGCTGCAAGTAATTACACTCAAGTATAAGATTTGGCAATCTAGTTGTTTAAAACTTCCCAGTATAAGTAGTCTTACAGCTGCACTTAAGCTTTGCAATAGGGCATTCTAATTTAACTAAAAGGCATCTTTCCTTTCTATCTTATGACAACTAAATAAATCTAAGGAAGACAGATAATTTATGATGGAGGAATATGGTACAGCAGATGCTCCTGAGCAGAACCTAAGGCAAATTTCATGCATGCTTTTCTGTGGGTAAACAACAGAGGAAAGGGAAAAAAAGAAGAAAAGCAACAAATAGCTCTTGGCTTTTAAGAACTTAGAGTCTTATTACAGACTTAATTTAATTCTGATAGAGTTAGGTTAGGAGCAGCCAAAACTTAATCAGTAACACAAGGGTAATTTAGTTCAGTTCTCCATACCTAAGTCATACGGAGAAGCTGCTTCAACTGATTAGAAAACCTGTTTTATTAAAAGTTGCATAGAAGCACAAACATTTCAGTGTAGAAAGGCAACAGGTATTTCATCATTCCAGATCATATAGTAATGCATCGCCAACTTTTACAATTCAAAGCTTTTCCAGAAATTAAGTAGTTGGGGAGGGTCTAATAGCTGGCCATAATTCTGTGCAATTATTCTAAAAGCAAGTTACCAGATCTAGAGAAGCACTACTGAGAACTGAAAGTGAGTCATCAGCAAGGGAGTGAAAAAGAAGCCAAATACCATGGGAATTTCTCATGATTAGCTGTTTTTGTGCATCTTTCCAAACCTTTTTGTCAGCAGCATCCCCTCTACAGCAAACTACTTTAGCAATTCTTTCACGGCATTTACAAGATGATTGACTAGAAGTTTTGAACCTGCAATTAAATGAGACTTGCCAACTTACAATTATTACAGTGTTCACTTCAAGTAATTTTTATTATACATATTCCACATGTATTTAAACTGTTAGTAAAGTCATAACAATGTATAGGTACTTAAAAAAAGACAAAACAGTCAGAGTCATCAAACTCTTGGTCCCCAAAGAATAAAGCAGGCAGTCAGTTCAATAAACACATTTGATTTATTTTGTATAAAAAAGGGTTAAGTTTACAACTAAACTTTTATAAAAAGTTTAGCATGATTAAGTACATCATTACACTTTTTGCAGAAATGTACATTTCTGTCACTATACAAGAAAACTCTAATTAAAGAGTTCACAAGGTTTCACTCTCATATATATATATTTATATATAAATATATACACAGTATTCATTCCTAGACTTTTGTCAAAAAAGTAATTTTTGACCATAACCTTCACTAAGAAACTGAACACTGGTTCCTTCTGGTACTCACGCTCCACCTTTGGAAAGAAAAGGCAAAGTCTGCTTTAAAATGGGCAATTCCTTGTGAGGGTTTTTTTTTCTTTTTTTTTTTTCTTTTTTTTTCTTTTTTTTAGGTTTCGCTCCCCATATTGGGAATAGTATATAAAGGAAGCCTTCCAACTAGGGAAAGGGCATTTAAAAGTCTCTTCATAAATAAGTTCAGTCCAAGTTGGAGAATTGGTTGAGGAGTAGAGATTAAGTTCTATTTTTCTTCTTTATTAGTTTTAAAAAGGTCCATTTAATTAAGATGTAGATTCCCCCTCCAAATACAGCTGAAAAATAAGTTCAGCACCTTCCAAAAAAAATCCTGTAGACATTTTCTTGTGCAAAAAAAAAAAAAAAAAAACACACACAAACCAAAAGCAAACACCTGCAAAAGATTGAAAAGAGGCATATTTAGGAGAATGCTAACAGGGCAGAGATCCGGACAGACTGGCGCCAGAGAGGAAGCCACAGTTTGAACATTTAACCAAACACTCAAAGATTGGGCAAACCCTGGCGTCCAGATGCAAAACGCACACACTCTCTCCCCCTCCCCCCCACCCTCTCTCCAGAGCACAAATTAAACATTAAAATAAAATACGCTCAAGGGGAGGGGGAGAAAGATCCAATCTCTATTTGGATCTCTGTACATGCACTGCTCAGAGGCGCCAGTCTGCCTCCTATACCAATTATTAGATTAAAAGCAGCCACTTACTTAACTGAGTGGAGACAATCCCACATTACAAAATTTAAGGGATTATGCCAAGATTCTCAACTAAATCAGCTATTTAGGCCCAGAAAGTTAGGATTTCGGGAACAGTTTTAACAAATTTACAAGCAAGTGGTGAGTGACATTGTTCTGATGCTGCTTTCCAGTACTTAAAAAACAGTTGATGGTACTTCATCGGGAGAGGCCAGGATGCATTTTAGTCTTAACTGAGTTACTAGTGTAATTTTCATGGAACAATTAGTAAAGGAATCTTCTGATAACCCTGCTTTATGTTAAATCAAAATTTGTCTTGAATCCAATCCCATACACAGCTCTTTCCACCCCAAAATGCCTTAACCCAGTGGAACTATTTGTTACATTTCTTTAAAAAGCAGAGCCACACACACTCACCATTTTACTTAGCCACAAAGTGCTTTGCTGTCATTTGACATTAGCTCTGAGGGAAATTCAGATGCCTGTAAGAAGGGAGAATGTGTAGTATTAAATATCTTAACAGCAGAAAAAGCATACAAAGTACTCTTGTGTCCTGAAGTTCATTGCATATAACATGCCGTGATTTAAATTCAAAATCATGTCTAAGGTAGAGCTAGGGTTAAGTAGCAATTTTGGTGGAATCCCCATCCATTTCAATCTAAAAGTGATCAGTACTGGTTTTTAACCAAGAGTAACTGTTTCTTGTGCCAGAGACAGACTTCCCACACTGATTTCAAATATTCTATGCGGGCCAATGAGCCCAAACCGAGGGAGAGTAAAGCCAAGCAGGGCTGGGTCATTTACCTGTAAGGACAGGATGCTGATGTCTGTATTTAGGGTTGTCAGAGGAGTTCTGGAGGAAGAATTTTGTCCGGGTCTCTGATGATGGAGGCTGACAATGCTAGGGTGCGAGTCTAAGGCTATCTGCAGGTCTAGGATGTAGTCAATAACGTGCTGCAGGATTTCCATCTTGCTCACTTTCTTGTTCTGGGGGATGCTGGGCACGAGCTCTTTCAGTTTGGAGTAGCAGTCGTTCATGTTGTAAAGCAAACTCATAGGATCATCCACGGGGGTCTTGCTCCGGGATATGCCCAGGTTGTGCTCCGAGAGGCTGCTTTTCCTGACCGATCTCACAGGACTGAAAGCTTTCATGCTGAAGCTGGTTTGCAGCGCACAGCACTCTGAGATGTGCCTGCCTGCCTTCCCCTCCGAGCAGCTGCCTGAGCTCAGAATGAAGCGCCAGCCTGCCTGCTCCTGCTTTTATACCGCGGGCTGCGGGGCTGCCAGAGCCAGCCTGTGCTTGCTGCCATTGGAGGCACCCGGCACGTCCATCAGGCGACACACGCTCGGTGCTGCGAATAAAACCGGCAGGACCGTTCAGGCCTTCCGTGTTGGGAGCCAATGTCGGGGCGGAGGCGGGGCTGCGCCGGGCACAGCTGAGGGTAGTAAATACTGTGCAGTAGATGCAGGGAGCGGTCTGCGCAGGCATGGGGACGGGGTGCGAGGGGCCCTCCGCCCTTTCTCCTGGTTTCGTCCTGCCCGTTTTAAACACCTCAGTTGGGACAAGTTGGAATGGACAAACTGGCACAGATGTAGGGCCCGGCGCTGAAAGGCCGGGCTTGGGGGCAAGAGATGAGGGTAAGGGCTGGGGCGAGAAACGTGTCGCTCCAGCCACTGGGAAGGCAGCGTCCGATGTAAGCAAATCACGTTTGCAGCATCCCACGGGTCAGGGAAGCCTGAGACTTCCTGAAAGTTCATTTGAATGATGGTATCTAGCAGCTCTTAAGAGCAGCCCTCCTTTTTCATAGGGTTTCATACCCGAGTGATCAGGTTTACCAAAAGCACACGGGGACCGGAGCCGCGCAGATGTGCGCACCAAACGTGCGAGCCGGACACAGTCCGCGACGATCGCTGCCAACCCGCACCGCGTTAAGCAAACGCACAGCGAAAGCGTGGCCACACGGGTGACTCTTGCAAGGCTGCTGATCTTGACCCTAGCGCTGCTGCACATCAGTATGCGGGCAGTGTCTCACAAACGTCCATGCTTTCCGCGCCGGACTTAGCGCAGCTCGGGCTGCGGCTCTTAGAAACATTTCAAGCTTAGAAACGATTGTCAGGCAGCGCCGCCTCTGGCCCAGTTCAGCGGGGTCCTGCGATCGCTGCCTCCGCCTGGCGCCCGAGGGGCACGAAAACATTTGCGTGTGTCGGGGGCCGCTTCCCCAGGGGAGAGCCCGACCGCCGGTCAGTGACTGTCCGCGAGAAAAGCAGCGCCCGGCGCAGGCGTCAGGCAGGTCGGGGCGCGCTGCTGAAAGCAGGCGAGCACTGGGCCCTTGCTGCGCTACCGACATGGCCTGGGCGGCGAGGACGGGGCAGGGGAACTGCGCGGGAGCGGGTCGGCCTCTCCCCGGCGCTCCCTCGCTACCTGCCCCGGGGCTGCAGCCGCCGGGAAGGACGAGGCTCGCCCGCCCGTGACCCCGGGCGCAGGCCGGGACGGGGCCGGGCACCGAGCGCGGTCACAAACGCAGCAGCCACAACCC